GGGATTACTGCCTGGTCTTTCTAAGGAGGAGGACAAGGACACCCTCCCTTCCTTTGGCCTGGGCTTCTGGGCGACCTCCTAGCTCTGGCCCCCGTGGGCAGGTGCCGGGAGCAGTGTGAGAGGTCCTCACTGCCCCTCCCACCCGCAGCTGCGCTGGGGGGTGGCCCTAGCCCCTGGGCTGAGGTCTTCCTGCACCAGCAGAACTTTGAACAGCGCTGGGGCACCAGTGCGTTATTTACAGGAACTTATACAGCAAATTCTTGGTTGAAGAAATTTATAATTTGAGTCAAACACCTCTGTGTGGAAATTTAGCTCTTGTCTTGGAGAAAAGAGGATCGGTACCTTTGTTTCCTAACCTTGTGAGTAGATTGTGGCCTGATTCATCTGAAACAGTTGGTTCTGCCAAGTAAGGAACAACTGTTTTACTCTCTTGAGCCAAAAATGTAATGCTGACCCAGTAAAACGACAGCCACTACCTTCCAGCACCTTGCTCACAGGACTCACGACTAGACCGTTAATCGTTGGTGTCTCTTGGTTTCGGTGTAATCGCACCTAGAGTTGAAGTGGGTTGAATGTTGCTGTGGTTTCTGGTCCGTCCAAAGAGTGTTCTCGTGTGTGTGTATTGACTAGTGTAAGAATACATGTGCACATTTCAGTTCACGTCACTATAAATCCTTTTTTTGGAACTAATTAGGTTTTAAAAGGAATAGTCATTTAAGAAGCTCAAGTCATTTAAGTCATTTAAATTAAGGTGTTTTATTGGTGGTGGAGGCTTTGATCCAATTATTAGATCAGTTTTTAAAAATTAAGGGGGAGGGTAGAGCTTAGTGGTAGAGCTCATGGCTTAGCGTGCATTAGGTCCTGGGTTCTATCCCCAGTCCCTCCATTAAAAAACTTGTAGAAATTTTTAATTAAATAAATAAATAAATCTAATCCCCCCCCCAACAAAAAAAAAGAAAAAGAAAAATGAGAACATGTACAGGCAGAGCTCATATGTACCTCGTGGACATATGTGCCTCACACGTGTACATACCTGTTCCTCATATATATCACATGGGCTTCGCAGACATAGCGGGTTTTCGGACAGGTTGAAGGTTTATGGCAGCTCTGCATCGAGCGAGTCTCCCAGTGCCGTTTTTCCAATAGCGTTGGCTCGCTTTGTGTCTCTGTGTCACATTAGCGCAGTTCTCGTTGTATTTCAAGCTTTTTCATTGTTATTATATCTTCTGTGGTGATTTGTCATCAGTGACTATTGATGTTACTGTTGCAAAAAAGATTACAAATCACTATAAAGGCTCAAAGGATGGTTAGCATTTTTTAGTAATAAAGTATTTTTTTATTTAAGATATATAGTTTTTTTGAGGTAATGATATTGCACACTTAATAGACAACAGTGTAGTATAAACCTGTTACATGCACTGGAAACCAAAAATTTCCTGTGACTTGCAGCATTGGGGTGGGGTGGTATGGGACTGAGCCCACACTGCCTCCAGGCATGTCTGTACGGAGGTGGACCAGTCAGTAGGGACACCTGACCCTCTGTGGACCAAGTGACATTGCATCCCCGGTTCCATTGCAGTGATGGGTTTTGTTTTCTTTGCTGCTTACAAATGAAAAATCCTTTAAGAAGTTAACACTGTATTGGGGGAAGCATTGTAACCCTTGCATTCTAACTTAAAATTTTAGAAAGGAAGTGAATCTGTGATCAGAACGCAGAGAGCTGGAGCTTAAGCAGAAGTTTTCCTAGTTGGGGAAAAGGGTGGTGCTTCAAGAAAACTAGACACCAGACCAACAGTTTGTCTGTGATTCCCCATCTCTTGAGGATCTCTTATCCTCATGCTCCAAGTCCTGTCCTGACCCTGGGCAGGCACCTCTGCTCATTCCAAACACTTGTGTGGGGCAGGGGGTGGGGTGTGAACCAGGCTCTGGGAACAAGCGCGTTGTCTGTGTGTATCTGGGTACCGTCTCGTTAGAAAACAAGAAAGGTCTGGATGCTGGAGGATAAAAATCACTGATGAAAAAACACTGATAATTTTGTAGAAGGATTTTACACGGACTCTTTGGGAAAGCCAACCTCTTGTGCATTTTGAATCAGCCCTTTTAGTAGCGTGGCCATTTCGTTAAGTGATGTCTATGAGCCAGCTCCGCGTCGCCTTATAACCTTATAAAATGGAGTTCATTTCAGACACACAAGGCTTGTTCCTCCTCTCTAGCCGTTGTTCTCAGCCAGCAGCAGTTGTGCAATTGGGAACATCTGGCACTGTCTGGGGAGGTTGTGCTGGGCAGAGGTCAGGGGTGCTGCTAAGCATCCTACAGTGTGCAGGGCGGCCTCGTGACAGAGTCGTCTGGCCCCACGTGGCAAAAGCACTGAGGCTGAGAGACCGTTAGATTAGGTACGGTTTCACCGTGGCCAAGCACTCAACGTGGCAGAGTAAAAGAGAAAGGGGTTAGGGGTGGTGCCTGAGTCGGTTCAGGCCGCTGTAACACAACACACCATAGACTGGAAGGCGTAAACAGCCAACACTGATTTCTCTCTCACAGTTCCGGAGGCTGGAGGTGCAGGATGAAGGCGGCAGCAGATCTGGTATCTGGCGAGGATGGCCGTCTCCCCCCTGTGTTCTCACATGGCAGGAAGAGGGCGAGATGCCCTGGGGTCCTTCCATAAGGGCACTAATCCCACTCACGTGGGCTCCACCGTCAGGACCTCCCCACCTCCCCGTGGCCCCACATTGACCATAGAGAGACCCTAACACTGTGAATTCCTCACCGGGTTGGAGTCATCATTACTGCATCAAAAGTGTGTTTAGAGCTACGCTATTCTGCAGTATGCTTTTCTGTTGTTGTTTACTTTCTCTCCCTGAAATAATGTTTTAGTTCTTCATTTAGGTAGGCTCTGATTTCATAACTTTTTACTCTCCTGTATTTTCCTAATGCCGTCTTATGCGTGAACTCCCCAGAGCTCAAGCAGACATCTCAGGACAGATCTGTATTTTGACTGTCGACCTTTCTCTGTAGTGTCTACAGAAGTACAGAAATACCACCTAATTAAGTGAAGAAGACAAGTATTTCTGCACGGCAGAATTCTGGTAACTGCCAAATAAAATCTTGGTAGGATGACAGAGTGAGAACTGGAACGACCCGGGAGGGCGCTGTGTCGGTTGTCCACTGCCGCGTGACCAACCGCCACAGACTCAGCGTCTGGAGACGGCACGTTTATGACCTTGGCGTTTCCAGGGCCCGGGAGCCGGGCCCGGCTTCGCGGGCTCCTCTGCTCAGGGGCCGACGACGCTGCAGCAGGGTGGTGGCTGGGCTGCGTCCCCACTCAGGGCTGCGAGGGCGACTGGTCTTCCAAGTTCACGTGGTTGGCAGAGCTCTGTCCCTCGTGATTGGGAGGGTGGCACAGCTTCCTGGAGGCCGCCCCCAGTTCTCGTGAAGGCTGCCTTCATCTCCTTCATCTTCGAGGCCTTGGGGGGGGGGTCTTCCTCCAGGCCCGTGGGAATCCCCCATGATGTAACGTGACAGGTACAGGAGTGATGTCTGGCCACCTTGCCTTCTGACCCAGCCGAGGGCATGGCCTGCGTCTCCTCTGACAGACCCCACAGGGGCGGGAGCCAGGCCCGCCCACCCCAGACGGGAGGGGATTGTACCAGATGGGGCTCACGGAGGGAGGCGGGCATCTTGCGTGCATCCTTCCAACGGCTTTTAATTCAAATCTTCCCAACTTGAATGTGCCCTTTTGTCTTTTCCTAAACAAACCAAAACTTAGTGATCATTCAGTAATGAAAGATTTGCCACCATGAAGGTGCCTGGAAATGTGTGGTGTTGTCTCTGAGGACAGTTCCTAAACAGCCTCACATGTTCGGTGTCAGGGACATCATTGAAACACGTTGCCTTTCTTGCCTGCTGCCGTTGGGAGTAGACTCTCTTGTCGATGTTTGAGGTCTGCTTTGTCCACGGACGGAAGATCCTGCTGTTTGATTGACTTCTGTCCTGTGTAGACTGGGTGGTTGCTCATCCCACCTGACTTAGAATCATGGTGCAGAAAACCAGGCTCGCTCTTCTCATCTGCTGCAGACACACAGGCTCCCCAAGTTCCCACTGCCCCCTAGGTTTTCACCGGCCCTCCAGGCTTGGGCAGGGCTTGGGCAGACCGATGCAGTGAGCTCTGTGGCAAAATACACAGGTTCTCTGCCTGAGACCTGGCTTCTTTATGGAAGTGACATCAAGGTGATGTCGGGGCCACGTACAGCCTATGGATACAGTGACCGTCATGATCATCACTAAACTTTTGTGAGTGGCAGGTGTTATGACTAATCATTGCTCCAGAAGCGCAGGTGTGACAGGACCATGTGGTCCCCCTGCTGACGGGTGTCGACATGACTGCTGGTCCACTCGGTTCTCTTCCCCCCATCCAAGGGAGGGCTGGCCTCTAAGCCAGCTGCGTTTGTCCCAGTGCGTGTCAGGACTCCTCCAAACTCCGTATTCCCTGTGCTGTGTTCATAACACACACAGGATGCGTATCAAATAAGAAGTTGGTGTTTGTTCTCATTTTCTGCTGTGTTTTACGGTGTTTCATGGATGACTCCCTCCCAGCATTACAGAATACACCAGCTCCTCCTTTTCTGAAAAATTTTCACCCGTGTGTATGTTTATATATATACATAACTATGAAATTTTTATATAATAACAAAATATAACATGAATCAGCTGTTAATTACCTCCATGTGTAGAACAAACTGAGTGTTGTCTTTTTTTTTTTCAATCGTCTCAAAGAATGCAGTAGGGAGGGGAGGGTACAGCTCAGTGGTAGAGCACATGCTTAGCATGCACGAGGTCCTGGGTTCAATCCCCAATACTCCTCTGCAAATAAATAAACCAAATACCTTCCCCCCAAAAAAGTTTTTTTTTAAATTAAGTAATAAAAAGAATGCAGCAAGAAAAAAAATACAGGCAGTGTTTCAAAATTCTCTTTCCGCTTTTCCCTCTCACCTTTCTCACAGAGGGTGGCTCCCGCTTCGTAAAGACCTCATCGCGGCGAGGTGGGGCTAAAATGAGCATAACCAGTGACGAGGTGAACTTCCTGGTGTATCGGTATCTGCAGGAGTCAGGTAAGGGGTCGGCTTACGGGCTGGTGTATACATATGGTGTGTCTGTGTGAACCTCTTAGATCTACGACCACGATTTCTTGGGCTCCCACCCCACCCCCAGCCCCACCGGAGTGGATCCTATGAAATGTTCTAAAGCATAGCAACTGTTTGAGTTTCTTCCAACACTTTTGATTATGAGCAAGGCGTTGCCTCATGGTGCATAAGGATCAGACTAAACACGTGTTCCCTGGGAAGGAGCTGAAGGTGCGCTGAGCCCAGGCCCGGGTCTGGCCTGGCTTCGTCCCAGACCAGTGGGGCCTACACAGACTGGCGGGCCTCAGGTGAGTTGTTTAGGGTGGTGGGGCCCTGGTGTCCCCATTATGCACTGTCGGGGCCGCCCCAGCTGTGCAGCTTAAACCCAGCTTAGAGGACTGCTGGTGGGTGCGCTTTAAGATTCTTAAGAGTCTTAATTCTTTCAACATCATTCATTTTTAAAATTCGTTTCTAAAGCGAATACTTTTTTACAATCTTAAAATACCCAGTCTAAGATGTGCAAAGGGACATTAATGCAGAAACACCTTGTGCCCACCGTCCCACCCAACTGAAGAGGTGCTGCGTTTCTAACGCGTTGGGGACCCTGTGTCTGACGCTGGTGCAACCCCCTCTCAGTGGCAACTGCTCTCCTGAATTTGGTGTTTTCACCCCCTGTGTGTTTACTGCACAGGGATGTTTTTCTCAGCCGTGGAAGGTACTGGTGTGTTCGTTTCCCACTGGGGCTGCCAGCTCACTGTTCTGAAGGACAGTGGTCCAAAACGAAGGCATCAGCGGGGTGGTTTCTTCTGAAGGCTGAGAGGGTCTACCCCTGCCTCTCCCAGCAGGTGTTGGCACTGCATGGCTCGTCACCGCAGCATCCCTCTGCCTTCATCCTCTTCATCTCGGCGTTCTCCCTGTGTGCCTGTACCTCTGTGTCCAAGTTTGTCAGGTTTCTCCTTTCTGTAAAGACATGGTCATACTGAATGAGGGGCTCACCGTAATCCTGTCCAACCTCATCTTAACTCGTTACGTCTGCAGCGACCCTCTTTCCAAATAAAGTCACATTCTGAGGTGTACCGTGTGATGGGTAGGGCTTCAACATAAGAATTTCTGTGGGACACTGTTAAACCCAAAACAGTGGGTTCTGCACATATTTAAGCTTTACTCACTTGGTATCATGTTGTATCTGTCCTGCAACTTGGTTTTTCAAGGAGGAAGGCGGTTCTCAGGTCGCGCCTCTCAGGACCCATGTACTAGGACTGACGGTGAGCCAGCTGTGAGCCCCTGGGTCCCAGCTCTTCCAGGATGAGCCCAGAAGGGTGAGATCAGCAGGCCTCACAGGCAGACCAAGTGGCTTGATTCTGATCCTTGAACAGATTATTTAGCCCATTGGAGCCTCCCTTCCCTACAAAAAATGGTTATCCTGGGCAAAGAGGATGGAATACATCCTGCATGTTACAAAGAAACAGCTCTCCCCCTCCAAGCCTGGATGTCTGCCCTTTGTGACCTCAGCTAGCATTATTCACAGAAAGTGCACATACTTTCTACAGAGACGTTAGATCATTTGGATTGGCTGTTGCCAGAACGTAGTATGAAAAATGGATACACAAAACAAAATACGCACCTACTCACCCCCGTCAGTCAAGGAGGTCATAGCCACTGCCCTGACGCCTGAGCCTCGGAACTTAACCGGGGAATCCCTCACTGGGATACAGGTGTTCTCCTAGCGCAGAGCTGAGGGGTCCCCAGAGATGTCTGCACGTGCAGATTCTGTGTAGCAAACCCTTCTTTCCTGATGACCTCCAGCCCTGAATTCTTCGAGCATGGAGATTCTTTCCTTTTAGAAACACTTCTGCACAGAGAGGATGAAGGCGAAAGTACGGTCAGAATGTGTGAACAAACCACGGGCTGGAGCTGCCGTGCCTCTGTGTGTGAACGTCAGGATGAACCAAGGGCGTGAAAGAAAACTTCCGTGCACCCCAGGGAGGGAGTTCTCCCGGTGGTGGGGTCCCTCGGGCCCGGGGCCGGAGCGGGGCTGGCCTCTGTGAATAAACACAGAAATCTCCATCCCTCCCCCAGAGGGGCCAGACTCCCTTTTTAGTGTTTGTTTACATTTGTCTCACTTTAGTTGATAAAGTTTCTGTAACCAGGCAACTGAGAAGGAGGCTTGGGAGGCAACAACGTGTAGGATTTCACTGGCGCCGATTGGATGTAACGTCCGCTGAGCTGCTGTCCTAACTTGTCAGGGTCCTTAGCGTGAAACCCCACACCTGAGTGAGAAGTTGAGAGGAGATTACCAAGCATCGCGCTCATGACTGTGTGTCTCCTGGAGTTGACCCGAGTGCTCGAAAGAAGAAGGGAAAGAAGAAATGCCTTAGGTGTAGGGGTTCACCCTGGGCTGTTTTACATGTTTATCTCAAAACCTCAAGTTCCGGTTAAGCAGAGATTTATTTACTGTTGCCGAGTCTTCAGTTGTCGTCGTCCTGGGGTTGTGTGTAGAAGACAGCAGGGTGGGGGACGGTGGGTGGGGCATGACTGTGCAGTGAGGCAGACAGCTGGGTCTCCGGTAGGTCTGCTCTTTGCGTCACCAACCAGGGATACGCCCAGAATGTTCCACCTGACCTTGAGGGACACGTTCCCTGGAACCACGGGCGCTCCTGGTCCTCACCCCGGAGTTAGTGGAGAGTCCCGCACTAGCAGTATCCCGTACCCGTTAGGATGCTTTGGGCTGCAAAGACGGGAATCCCCAGTGGAACTTCCAGCCCCTCAGAGAGCGGGAAGGCAGGGCATTGAAGTGGCACTTGCCTGAAGAACTTGGGACAGCTCTTCAAACTCAAAGAGTCTCAAGAATGGACTTGTTGGTCTTCTGCCCTCAGGAGGCAGAATTCGCATCATCTTAGATTCTGCTCTGGCCTTCACCCAACCGTGTATGCCACAGCCTTTAAGGAAGAGGGGGCGTCATCATTGTCACTGTTGGTTGTCTGAAGCGGGGGCCTTGCCATGGAGGGCACTCCCTAGATGTGTGGTACCTCGCACGAGTGCTTTATGGCAGCCCGATACAGGAAACTGGTCAGTCAGCATGGCTTTTAAGGTCAGCAGGAGGGGACTTCCACTCCAGCCCCAAAGTCGCTGAGTTGGTTTTTGCATGAGTTAACAGCAGTCCGGTTCTGAGGACTCGGAGTCCACTGCCCTGCGCCTCATGGGGGTTAATCGTGTGGTCTCTTTGGCCACCCGGGCAGTGTTTAAGAAGCAGATTAGTCACCCAGCCCATGAGTTCCCTTCACAGTCTGAGGTAAAAGCGAGGGCGAAAGTCCTAATGTTGCTGCGTTAGGGCTCCTTCTGATGCGCATGGGTGTCGGTGCTGTGGCCCCCACCGGCTTTGGAGGGAAGAAGGAGCTTTATTGGAAGGTCGACCTGCAAGGAGGCAGGAGGCAGGGCTCAAGCTTGTCTCCCCAATCCAGGGTTTGGGGAAAAACCTGAGGGGCTAGGGGAATTTCCAACTTGGAAACTGATCAGCTAGTCTCTGGTTGGTCCACGTGTCTACTCCTGGAAGCCAGGGTTTCCTCATCGGAGGGCTTCTCCCTTTGTAAAGGGCTCCAGTGACAACACTTCTGTCCTCCCAGTTGTGTGGCTGAAGATTCTTGGTTGCAGGGTCATCCTGGAGACATGGGTTCCGTCTTGCTCATGGGCAGTGCTGTCTTTAAAATAACTCTGGGTTTGAGCAATCAGCAGCCTGTTTAAGGAGGCAGAGCCAGTTTAAGCTGGTCAATGTTTTACATGCTGTTGGCACTGTGAATGCATTCCAGCCTGCAAGGGCTTCTGAGAGCAGCTCCTCCAGATCCTGGATAAGTTGTGTATTGTGTCCCCCTCCTTTGTGAATTTTGCCAGGGAAGCCGACGGTGGTGTGAAAAGTGAGAAAATTCGGTAAGTGAAGTCCCTGTAAGCATATTGGATACTTCCTCTGGGGCCTCATCCCCAGATCCATTGGGGCAGGGACCCAGGGGACACTAATGTTGGTGGAAGGCAGCTCTGTATGTAACCAGGGAGGTTACATGCCAGGAGTTGCCAAAGCTCAGGTGAAGGCACTGAATGAACAGGTTTGGCCATATGTCACGGAAAAGCCAGAGAGCGTAGGTTGTCGTGTGCACAGGGCCAGCTCCATGACTGATGGGTGGAAAGGTGGTCTCATAGGAGCTGGGTCAGTGTCACCGTTTATTCTGGAAAGGAGAGAAGGTCTGGGGTTTGGGGCCAGATGGTGTAGACAATTACCTGGTGACAAGACCTTTTCCTCATTACTCTCACTTGACCACCTTGGAGATGACAGACCTGACCTTCCCTGTTAAATGTGGCTGCTTCTCCACCTCCCCACCCTCGAAGGTACCATCCTTTTTTTTTTTAAGGTATAGTTTTCATGCCATAAAAGTCACCCTTTTAAGAGTACAGATGTGCAGCGTTGGCCACATGTTTACAGTCACGTAACTGCCCACACAGTCAAGACAGGGAACGGTTCCATCAGCCCAAAACAGCCACCTGTGAGCATTGGTAATGTACCCATCCCCCCACCACGGCCCCGGCACCCAGCACTCTGTGTCCTGTGTCTGTAGTTTCCCTCTGCTGGGATGTCTCAGAAGTGGAGTGTTTATAGAGTCTGGCTTCTTTCGCTCAGAGCTTTGAGATGCGTTCACACGGGTACCTACATCAGCGATCCTTTTTTATTGTTGTTTCGTGTCCCGTTTTAAGGATGCGGGGCACTTTGTCCTTTGTCCCATTGAAGAACATCTGAGTAGTTTCCAGGTCTTGATGATTACAGGCAAGGCTACAGAAACTTTTGCACACGGGCTTTTGGGGTGAACGTAGGTTTTCGTTTCTCTCGGGTCAGCATCTGGGCATGATCGTGTGACAAGTAAGGGTTTGACTTTATCTTCATTCTCACTCGGCAGCAAGGCCCTTTGTGAACATCGGTGGTTTGATAGTTTTGAGTTTGGAAC